GTTCACAAGCAGACGTGGCCTTAGCTCCTCCGCCAGTGCCCTTGTCCCCGACACCGACACAGCGCCCTTCCCTTCCCCGCTGATAAAGCCCCTGGACTCTCGCTAAAGAGACCCTTAGGAGCCTTGAGTAGTGCACAAGTGCTATAAAAATATTATACTTTTGTATCCTAGGGAGAAGAAGGGTCATGCGGTGTGAGACCCCAGGGCAGAGTCTCCTGTAGCGGCCGCAGACACCGCGGAATCGTTCAATATTAACCAGCCCACAACACTCCCTCCGGCTCCTTATCACCGCAAGGAAGCGGTGCTTGGCTTTCGTCCGCCATACGCCGTCTCGGCCTCTGCGTTGCGGTTTCCCAGTTAGGCCAGGGCAGAAGCTCGGCGGCGGTGGGGCCGCCCCCAACCCCCCCCGGCGGAGGGGCCGTGGCCAGGCTGCCTCCGAGTGAAAGACAAGAACGAACTTTGCTCTACAGAAAAATCGCATGCGTGAATTCACGGTTAAAACTCACCAAACTCTAGCTGGCCGCAGTCACAGGTGTTGTCATAGCGTGTAAAAATGGGCCCAGTACAGGAACAGGATGAAACGTCTTCAAGCAATCAGGGAGATGACGACTGAGCTGATGATGTTTAAAAGTCGCGCGGCACGCCTGACAAATGAAAACGTCCCTCCGTTTTTAAAACACGCAGATAGAGCGAGGCCCACGAACTATTAACTGCCTCGAGGAGAGGCGATATTACTGCCATCTGGATGACAAGAACTGGACTGAACAGGGCCAAGTGGAGAGCAGTCCTGCATGGACACAGAGGACCAGGCAGAAGACCACCACCTGGAGACTGGTGCCCTAACTACATCTCAGGCACTTCAACAGCTGCATTGCGAAACATCTAAATTGCAGACACATGGGTTCCCCTTCCCTCCACACGCCATGGAAAAATTCCTATTGTAACACACGACAGTCTTCTAAGGGAGATAACAAAAAAACAAGCCAGCCTTGTTAAAAAACAAGCTTTGATTCACTGATTGCCCCATCTTTACGAATTCCTTCTGCTGCTCCTCAGGTCCCACAAATGAGAACTTGCATTGTTATTTTGGGCTCTTTCTTACAAACCTTGCTCTCAAACGAACCTCTTGAAATGATTAAATGAGAAAGCACCGTCTGTAACACCTCCTTGAAGAGCTTCAGCGGTGAGGGAATGACCGACGCTGGCTGCTGATTTCTGCCTTCCTTCTCACTGGGCTCAAAACCGAGCAACGCATCATGTCTGGATGCTTTTGGGACCTCTGCAGAGCAAAGCAACATGTTGCTCCTTTAACCCAGTAATACTGCTGAATGCTCCTGAAGCATCAGCAACTGAAATCCATCTTCCTTTCACCTACCCTATAATTTCCCAGCAAGAACGGAAAATTATAAGCCACAGCAAGAGTTACATTATAAACCAATTACAAAAAGCACAGAGGTGACGGTTCTGTGTGTGCTTTTAGTGTACTCCCCATGCTATCAAACACTAAGTCCTTCAAGGACAGTCTATCCTTTGCATGTTTCAGACACATTTTATACTACCGAATAACATGTCTTCCTGTTTTCAGCCCTCCCAGCTGGTAGCTCAGACTCACTTAATGAAGCAGCCAGTACTCTCCAGAAAGCTATCCGAAGGTGAAGTGGCATTGCCACGTTTGCAATGACCTCAATTTCTGCCACACCACTACAAAATCATGAGTCAAGCCAGGAAAAAAAAAGTGTGAGGTGGCCTTAAAGACATCAGTTCTAAAGATGCTACATACAATCTTTTCATTTGCTGACTGTTTTCTCACCCATCACGGACCCAGTCACAACCTACGCAAAGGGGCCTAAATTTACTTTAGAAAGAAGAAATTCAACCATAATCCCCTTATCTCCAAAACCATGCTGAGGATGACACATGTTAAAAACACACCATTGGCACCATACATTTTAGAGCCAGAATCTCTCCTCAGCCAGACCCTGCATTCAGAGCGGCATCGCTGCCCACGGGAGGAGCCTGGCTCATCCGTTTGTGTCTCCAGGAGCACTAGCTCCCGGGTTTCTGTTTTACTCATGGAGTACATCATGTACATGAACTAAAGGGCGGCCACTCGAGCGAGTGATGTAAGCTGTTTGGCTTGGGGTTCATTCAATGTCATTGACGTCCTATCAGTCGGTGCTGGACCCCAGCCATCCCAGCGTGTCTGGACATATTCCCATCTGACAAACCCAGCAGGTATGGCTGGAGGCTTCTCACTCAACCTCACAGGGAGAATTTTTTATAGCAACTAAATCATTTGGCTGGTTTTGAAACACACTTATCTTTTACCTTGCTAATTTCTTGTGGTGCAGAAACAGCTGCGTGGCTGAATGAATGAGTCCTCATCTATCAGCCTGGAAGGTATTAGCTGGACGGAGGACTGAGACGCTGAGTTCCCCTCTGCTGGTCTTGTCCCTTCCATGGTGGTTGGTAGATTGTTTCCTATTTGTATCAGGTTATGCCACATAAAGTTGTAGCATTCCTGGGGGAAAAGGTCTCCCAGCAGATTAAATCACTGTCTTATAAATCAGGTGTGGAAATTTGCCCCATTTCCATCCCAAATTTTCCATAGTTCAATTTCTCGGATTATGCTTAATTGCCCTGTTTCTCCCTGATCTTCCACCTCCGGGTGTTTATATCAATCAGATGCATTTGTACATGCATAAAAAAGAACCCAACATTAAAAAAAGTTTGTATTTACAAGTTGAGTCTTGTACTCGTGGCATTACACTCTAATTAGGTCAGTCATGTTCCCCTGGTAGAGCATGAATGATAGTGCTGGAAAACAGAGACAATTCACAGAGACCCAAAAATAACTCATCCTGCTCTGTTTTGTAAGCAAGATGAGTTTTCTTTGCCCCGCGCTGAGGACGTTTGCAATTGAGGCCATTCAGGCGCACTTACGGCAGCTGCACAAACTGCGGCTTGGTCCCATAGGCAATGCCAGCCTGTGCCTCCATTTCCTTCTAGCAGAAGACGGCTATTAATCCGTTCCAATTTGACAGGGTTGTGGAGAGGTCATCCCGTGTTTGTAAGGCGTTTTATTACTCTTGGCACAAGGCCCCAGCCATATTACGTATGCCTCTTTTCACGATTGCCTTCCATTCTTATCTGCATATTCTGTTTGCATAGGCCACAAAGTGCAAACGTTTGCATGATATCATGTTATCAAGGATGAGGGTGAAAAACAGCAGGCCCACTCCCTCAGCTGGGATATGCACTTCTGCTAGGGTACATACAAGAGGCTAGCGATCAGGAGCGATGAAAAAACATGTCTTTGTGTTGCACACGCTGGGAAAGTACCTTTTAAAGATATCACGGGCGTTGCATGGGTTGCTTCACCCTCTGACACATCTTTTGCTGTCACACACTCATAATGTTCAGATTTATTATTTCTTCACAGAGAGGAGCAGGTTCACTGATTGTACAGGTGACTATTGGTTTCAGCCACCGCAGGCCAGCTCCGAAACTGGCCTTTTTAAAGCTTTGCAGAACGTCTTCGCGCATGCCAGATTCAGCTGACCTAGTATTATCCAAGTTAGTTAATGAAAGGTGCCAAGGAAAGGATCCCTTTCCCTGGGGCGCGGTGGAAGTGAGCAAAAATGAACAAACCCGTGTGTTCAGATAAAGTTCCTTTTGATTTTGTGGGAAATGAAGGTTCGAAATGAAAACAGTCGGTGAGGCAAGAGGAGGAGAAAAAAATATATAAAAAGCAAGAGGCAGGCTTAAAAAATGAAAATAAAAGGAGCGAGAAGAAAAACAAACAACCCTGGAGCAAAAACACAGGGGGAAGAGGAGGAAACAAATGAGACAAATAGCAGGAAAAGGGTCAGTAGTGAAAGCCCCGATTACTTGATTCACTCAAGCCCTTGCTTGTGCTGCTCAGGGCAGGGCGGGAAGCCAATCTGCTTTCTGCGGTATTGTTTAGGCTACAAATGCCATGGCAGATTTCCCATCGACTCTAGTGTTTATGGCCGTGCGCTACTCTTAACCGCAAAAACATGCGCGGAGGAAAGGCGGCCGGCGAAGAGCAAGGGCTGGGAGCAGGAGGATGATACACTTTGGAGCTGAATGACCTCAAAAAAGCACTTCTGCGTTTTTCTGGCAATTTTGTAGAACAGCATATCGTTCACAAAATTCTTCAGCGTGAGGATTTTTCATCTTCAAAATGCATACATTGATACCTCTGGGTTATTACAAGCTACCAGCCGCAGAGGGCTGCCTGTATTTATACAACACTGCATTATTTATAATATCCCTTCCAGGATCAGGAAAATAAGAGTTCTTTCCTTTGCAGCTTTTCTTTTCTTTTTTTTTTTTTCCCTCCTCTCCCACTTGGAAAACATTGATTTTTCACCCTCATTTCTCCCAGCAGAGCTGTAGCCAATCTGACTCCATTTTGTTTACTTCTCTAGGCCAGATCCTCGGCTGGGGCAAGGAACGATAATCTCTCTGGAATAAACAGAGCTGCACGGACCTACCGGAGGTGGGATCTGGCCTCCGCCTCCCCAGCACCAGCGCAGTTGCGGGAACTCATTAACAGCGGCCACAGCGCTGCAGGGTATTTGCGAAGGGACAAAAGCACACCAAACGGTGGCCCTGTGGGTTACCTTGTCCTGAATGGGTTTTAGCTCTTCTGCATTAAAGATCGGGAGGGAGTTTATCACCAGCAAATAACAAAAATATAAGGCTAATCAAATTTGGAGTGTAAACTCTTTGAGAGTGTCATTTCAGCTGCAAAGCAGCAGGGGATTATAAGATTTTACAGTCCAGAACTAACAGCTTGGAGTTTCAGCCCGTTAATGTTTTCACTGTCCTGAGCTTTTTGAGTGTAAGCACACTGGCAAGGCACCGAGAAATCTCTCTAGGCCAAAAATAACAGAAGAGGCTCGAAAATATGCCCCCGCCCCCCCCAAATAAAGGTACCAAGGCCACACACGTTCAAAAAGGGTTCTTTTAATTTGAAGCAAGTTTGCAAAAGAAGAAGTAACTTTCTCATATAAAACAGTGGAGTGGTGAAGGTGAGGCTAACAAGAGGTGTGGAACAAAAAAACCAGGTCAAATCCCCAAGGAGACACTGAAGTAAAAGCAACGACCTGATCACCATAATACATCGAAGGGTAACTCTGAAACATAGCTGTGTAAGGTGGTCCTACCCCTAAACCGACAGCAGATACCAAAGAGTGGAAAAATGACTGGCTACAGACTCATCATACCTGGTCTGTGGGGTTTTTTTGCACCTTTCTGTGACCTGAGAGCTGCCAGCGCTGCCCTCGCGGTTAACGCTATCAGACCGGCAGGACCGGTGCAGTGGCCGCATCGCTCTGGTGGAAAGGTATCATTTCCAGGCTTGGTTCTGGAGAAGCAGACATACCTGGGAAAATAATTCGCTATAAAGCTCTGTAACTCCGCTACAGTCTCTATATCCAAGGATTTAAACCCCAAGAAAGTTCACCGCCATCAAATAGAATCCAACCGAAGTAACGCATTTCCTGCCAAACCAAATCTCCTGCCGAATCCTGAGGCTCCAAGGCCATGTAAAACGTGCATGTGTCAGCCCCGGGACATGTGAGGGCTATCAGTGCTGGGGGTGGCAAACTTTACAACTTCACAAAGTGCAAGCCAAATTTAGTTGTCTGGGAGGGTTGGCGGGGTAGAGATGTGGGTGAGAAGAAGAGGAATACAGAAAGATGAAGAATTTCTGGGGACTTGTCCAATGAAGCCATTTAAAGCTCACGCCCAGCCCAACATTTTCAGTCTTGGGCTTAATGATGCTCCTAACTTAAGGGTGGCCTTCTGCAAGGAGGAGGTTTCAATGGACACTGTGCAACCACATCACCACGCATGTTTCTTCTGTGAACAGAAATGGCAATATACCTCTCCCCACGTGACCTCTAGTAACACCATGGTGTTGCATGGACTCCATACATTGTGGCAAAAACCTATAAAAATGACCTAGAAAATGTGACCAAACACGGACGAATTCAAGTTTGAATGAGGCTGTTTACAATGCAAAGGGCCTGTCTAGCAACTGTCCTGTGATGGCTTTTCCTCTCCAGATCCAACCTGTCATAGCTGGTACCCTTTTGGCTATTTTTGATAAAGGAGTTCTCTAAAGATAGGAGGTTTGGGGATTGTGTTCTCTCTACAGGTTTCAAGTTTCTGGGAACGCTGATTTCTAATGGCCCGTCCAAAGGTTTTTGTTCTTGCTTTTTTCTTTTTAAAGTTTCCTGGCAAATTCCTTTACTGAAAGGGATTTTCTGAAGCAAATCTCAGTCTGAAAACTGCAAGGAGAGAAGACATCAGTGCTATCTATGCATAAACAGCTATTTCTCCTCTCTTTTTGGAGAGCGAATAGGATAATCTTTGGATGACCCAACGGATTTCTGGAGGAAAGAAATGACAAGGATAATAAATGTATCCCCACATCAGGATAGACTCAGATGCTTATTCTAAAAAAATCGCTACAGCAGCTTCTGGCTGAGACCTGGGTGTAAACAGATAAAATTAGATCATGGCCCATCTGCAAAGCGTCACTGGCTTTAAGACGCAAAAGGAGGAGGAAAAAAGTCCTGTTGGATAATGGACCAGTTTCCTTTTTCAAATGCTTTTTTCCCTTCTCTCCCACAATGCTAAGAGTTTCCAAAAGCAGGATTGCTGACCACAGTGTGATTCCTTTAGTAAATGTTGCTGAAACCCTCTGCTCTGTTCTGCTGAGGCTTCTCCCTGCCCTCCCCGAGAAAGCATTTCCACCTGGTAACTCCCAGGGTGGGGGAAAAAGAGGCTGTCACTGATGCAAATAAAACAGTGCCCTCTCCTGTCCCTTCTCACTACTGCTGCTCGCACCCAAACAGCCAAGGTCCATGTGTGAAACAGACTTTTGGGGGGAACATAATGCTCCATTGAGAACGGGCTGGAACAGCACAAGGGGCCTTGGATGGCTTATTTACTCGTGTGCGCTTTTGCACCAGAGCAGGATTTATTACAGAGACAACCTGAGGTTCGGTACTCACTGGGAGTGCTGGTAGCATGCCTGACAGTGGTGGCGGATGTCCTCTCAGCCCTGGGAGGGGTGTGAAGACGTGGGCACTCTTTTCTGGTAGGAAACTGGATAGTTCCATGGCTATTGCATGAAAAATGAGCTCCTATTAAACCGCTCCCTGAAATGTCTCTCTCGGTCATTTCATGAGGCTGTTTTGGTTTCTTAATGAGAGCCATCAAGAGACCGGAGAAACAAGGGAAAGTAAATAAATAAATACAAATTAAATATCCTAGGAAGGAGTTTTAAATATAAGCCTTCATTTTTCAAGACTGCTCTGAACAATAAGATGAAACAAAAGTGAGTTTCATGGGTGAAGTTATTTTAACAGGACAGCTAATGTTTAAAAGTCATATTTCAAGACTGTGACTCTCAAAGACTACAGCAATGAAAGAGAGCTTTCTTGCTAACTGATGGGTGTTTCCTTCCAGATAGAACAATTTACCTGATACCTGAGGTAAATAAAACATACCTATTAATCATATTTTACGAATACAGCATGCTAACAACAAGGTACAGGCATCATGCATGTAGCTACACGAAGCAGTGGGCAGGAGAATACACCTCCTACTCTTATCTCAGGGGTGAGCAGGGTAGGGCACATCCACGCCCTGTGAATGCTTAAAAAAAAATAAACCCGCATGTAAGAAAAGCCAACCCCTAAACAAAACAAAACCCCACAGGGACAGTAGCGTGCACTGGCATGGAACAGAAATTCCTTTGTTCAGATCAACAGGTCCTAAAAGAATCACACCTGACGTTTTAGTTTGGAGGCAGTCAGAAGAAAAGGGCCGTACAGCCAACTCGGCAGGCCCTCAGCACGCTGGAACATTTTAGCTGCAGATGGCTCTGAGGAAGAATGGGTAATCTCTTCTCCTTGCTTAGTACAGATCTTGCTGTTCCCCATGTTCTTCTTCAGCGGAACAGCGCCGTGAAGTCCAATTCCTTTATTCTACGTGGCTTCCTTGCTTTTTGGCTCAATGCGGTATCACAATAACCCCAGGGACTAGCTGCACCTCACATCAATCCAGATCTGGCAATACCTGCAGGAGATGTGGAGCTATGCTTACCTTCGGAGCAAGCTCTTCAGTAGCTTGATCTGTTTTCTTCTAACCTCTATAGCTAACTTCCGCAGTGGTCCTTGGAAATCTTTTCCCGTAACACTACCTCTCACAGCTGTTGGATGAGCACCACTAAAACGCCAACAGCAACTGCACTGCTATGTCACATGTATAGAAAACAGGGTGTCTAAAATATGTAATCTGATGCAGGAAATAACAAGGGAGAAAGAAAACAAATCAGAAAGTCACACAGATAATTTTGTCTAAGAAACAAAAAACTCAAATGATAGACTGAGAACAAATTTTTGCCCGTTGAGTAATTAAAGCAAAGTCCATATGGCTTAAGAGAACAGTCAAAGTGCACAGAAGGCAGCGCTTTTTGTTTGTTTGTTTTGCGTTCCTCTTCACAGTAATCTCATGTCATCCTCTTTGGAGCCTCTTCTCCTTCCCACACAGATCCTATCCAGGTGCAGAAAAGGGGATGGCTCACAGGGTTTTGGCTCAAGCCTACGTCTTTGCAAGTCATTTGCCATCTAATGAGCTGTGGATCATTATCTCAAATTCAAAAGCCCTTGAATACACACACACACTGGAATTTTTGGTTTTGAACTTTTTCTTTCCGGAGCCTTTGGAGAGGAACCTCAATCCAGAATCAGTATGCACCAAGAGCAGCAGTGCTCAGAGGCAGTGCCAAAGAATAAAAGCAGTTCTGAGTTCGTTTGCCTTGTCACAGAGGCACTGAAAGGTGATAGCAGTGCTGAGCTTGCCCTCGGATCTCACCTGCTCAGGTGAGGTGCTAACCAGCCCTGATGGGCAGCAGCAGTAATCAATGCCAGGTTGGTTTCAACGACCTGCCTTGAAGACCACCAGCAGGCAGTGCCACCACTGTCCCACATCCCTCCAGAGAGGGTAAGGACAATTTCCAATAGTAACAATGCCCACATGTGCCCTGACGGGACATTAGCAAGCGGCAGGATGCCTATTATCCTGCCTCTTCTATACCCATCTGGGAGGAAATGCTGGATGCTGGAGTGACAAGGGCATGCCTACTTCCAAATCCCCCTTTCAAACACTTGCAGTAAAAAGTCCAGCAATCCAGGACTGTTCCTAGGTCCAAGGGCTGGACTGGGATTCTTTAAGCACATGACAGCTTCCTTGTGAGCAAAATAATTTGCTGCTAAACACAACGGACTCAGTAAAAGGATAAACTGGTTGCAGTTCTGCAGGGGAATAAGAAGGAAACAAAAAGGGAGCTGTACAAAAGCATGGAAAACAAACTAAAAATCCCCTCTCTTTCTTTAAAAAGCTGTAGCTGGAAGTGCATAAAGCAGCCTGTAAACGTGTACAAGATAATTCATGACCCTAATGCTTAAAAAAACCTGGTTAGCTTTATTTGGAGACACTTTGTTGCTTCCCTCAGACACAAAGCTGCAGAATCAATAAAAGGCACCTGTGGACACCAAAATTCACCCAATCTGTGTGACGTGTCTTTGCACTAAAAAAACAAACAAACAAACAAACAAACCCAGCTACCATACACTTTTTGACAGATCAGTAAGCAGTGCTGCAGAATCTGGGCACAAAATGAGGCTCAACTTCTATTGATAGGACAGGATAATTTTGATGATCAAAAAATTCACCAATTAATGGACTCTCTAGCCTGTCACTGCAATCTTAATTGAAAGTTTCCCCTGGCCTGCTGGGTTATGTCCTTTGACTTTTAAAAAAATGTACAATTCAAATGGCATATGCAGTCCACAGGGGAGAATTAGGGCCACAGCAAATATAAACTGACCTTGCATCTTAATTCTTCTCACTTGCTTCACCCACTGCTGTCTAGGGCTCTCTTTTGAGCCATCTCCCCTCCTAAAGGTCCTGGAGTTGGAATATTTCAAGAATGCAGCAGGCCCCATTTGAACAAGAACGAAAAGCAGGTCAGCAATTCAGTACGAAAACACCAGTAGTGAGCCTAGAGCAGACAGTGACACATCTGAGCCTGAGTTAATCAGCCGGTGCTCCTAACGTGGGGTACAGCAATGAGAAGAGGAGAGAGGAGGTGCCTGCTTTTCATGTAGATATTTGTCCTTTCTCTATATTTTCCTACTTGACCCTGATGATGGAGAAAATCAAAAAAAAAAAAAAGGAAAGAAAAAGGAACCTGGGAGGTCTCATGTATTTTCTCTTCAGATCACATCACAAAGTCACTCATTGCATCTAGGGAATTCACCTCCTTGTTTGGGAACGGGGGATAAGAGGGGGGGGGAGAAAAAGAAAAAGGGAAGAGAAGGATATGGGAGCTGCTTCCTGAAGCCGTGTTACAAAAAAGCAGTTAAAAAACCCCTACTATTCACAAGTGGTTAAAATTGTCACTTTTCAGAACTTTTTTTTTTTTTTAAAGAAAGGTTCAGCTAGTTCAGCTCCATATTTTTAGAGTTGATTGTCTTCAGAAAAAAAATAGCCTCATTCGTGTTCCCATCCATTCTACCCTGATAGAGAAGATACCCACAGAGTTCACCGCACTGGTCGCACACACACAGTCACTGTGACGGGTCACTCGGAGCTCCGCCGGAGGTTCGGCTGTGCTGGTTCGTCCCCGCCGGTGTCAGACGAAGGAGGAGAACCCTGTCACTGGAGTCCGGGAGCCGGGCGCGGGCTGTCCCGTTGGGGTGTACACCCCTCCTGAGCTCTGTGTCGTGATGACAGTCTGGAAATAGGGTTCTGCCTCGCTCGCCGCGCACTCCTCATATCTGTAGGATGATGGGTGCTTCACCCCTTTCTGCTGGCGCTTCCAAGAATTGTAGTATGTGGGGTCACTCATGTAATGGTTCACGAAGGAGTGCTTTGGCAGCTCATCTTCGTAATCTGAGTCAGTGGCCTGGAGCAGCAGAGGAAAAAGACCAGCCATTAGCATCTGTGATTTAGCCTGCTCCACTCTAAAAGAAATTATAGACAAGTTTAACATCACCAGTTGACAAAAGCTGTAATTTTAGAGTAGGATGGTCTGCAGTCCAATTGCAACACACGCTGGACTACAGAAAACTGCTGTGCTCTGATTTAGCATGGCTTTGCTAGGAAAGTTCCCTGATGAACTCTGGCAATAAGAGATACAGAGAAATCTGTGCTAATTCACTGCAGAGCACCGCTGTAGGATTTAAAAGTTCCTGTTTTGACAGAAGATGCAGGGGAGTGTAGAGATGTCATAGGGAAATTAGCAGCTTTCAATCACACCACCAACAAGCTTGCAATTACAATTTCAGACAGGTGAAATGTTGATAAATGTTTATCAAAGAAAAATTTTGAGAAACTTCCTTCTTCCAATGCAAGGAAAGCAAAAGTGTCTTCCATGCAAATGTGCGGAAGTTACCCAGACCTTCTGTTGTTTACGATGGTCAGATCAGGGCACCTGCACAGTGCTCAGTGAGTTTGGCTTGTGAGCCCCATTAAAAATTGAAAATTAGTTACATCACTGAAAGGGAATTAAGCAAAATTACTGTTTATTTCAGCCGAAGAACTATTTTGAATATCTCATCTGATTACTTGAGGTATAACAGTACACACAACTAGCAGCAACAGAAGAAAACAGAATGCAAAATCTGAAAGAGAAGGATTGCCGAAATGGAGGAGCTGCTTTCCTGGGACGGCTCAGGCACTGGCCTGTATTCAGAAAGGATCTTACCCCTTGAAACATTTATGTGCACTGGCTGGGTAGCTAAAAGGCTTGTATTACTAGATGGAGTTGAGGAGCTCTACTGAGATGTAATCAGATATGCTTTTTGCATCTGCCCCCCCTCAAGTACTGCTGCTGTGCTACAGCTGGAGGAATCACAGAAGGCTTGTAGATCTCTTCTGAATACAGAGACCGTAGCAAAGCCTTGGCCATGGCATCCAAATGCACATTTTCTTCCTCTTCCCACCAGCGTTCCCACCAGTAACAGCCATATCCTGTTCAGCACACTAACATTTACTCAGTAATTTCCATATCTCACGCCTTCTCTCAGGATCTCTGGTTTGAGCATGCAAAAGCTTTTTTCCTTTTTTTTCCTCCTGATAATCTGCATAGGCAATCCTAAAGGCAATTAAATATCAAAGCAGTAACTGCCTACGACATAAAATAGAGAGATGGGTAGCTGCAGCCTGTAACTGTTAGTTGCCGCAATTAGTTTCAAAAGTTGATATCACTCTGATCTATGACACCGCACAGCAAATGCACATCCTCCTTGATCCTGCCTGCCACACAATTGGTCTCTCCTCCTCCAAAGCTCCTTTTTAATGCTCTATAAAGAACAACCCTCCAATGCCTTGCGAACCATCATTTGAAAAGGGCACCACATCCATCATCTCACTCCTTTGCTTAGATAGCTGCTTTGATACTATTTCGTGCCCATTTTCCAGCACAGATGGTGATGGACAGGGCTGAGACATTTTTCCTGGTGTCTTCTGAAACTCTGAGCAAAGCAGCTTTCCATAGGTCTGCAAAATTTCCCTTCTATTGTCAATCATGTTTTGGCTCTATCAGAATTATGTATCATTTTATTATTTATTTATTATTTTAAGAATGCAAAGCTCCAGGTGCCTTGACACATAATTAATATTACAACAAAACCCCACTGGCATTTAATAATAATTCCAGAAGGAACTCAGCATGTCTCTCAGCTAGGAAAACACTCCTTTGCACCAGCTGCCAATCTTGGGAAGCCAACACCTGACTGCCTCCAAAAGTCCTCCTGAACAGGTGCTTTTTGTGGCATGCTGGAATATCCTCAGATTTAGACTACTTCACAGGCAGCGCAGAGAACATGTCCAGAGTCTTGGCACTGCTACAGGGAACATCCTGCCAGCACTGCCCTAGCTATTTTGTAAGGGGATCGAACAAAAGTGCCTATGATGACTGCAGATGTGGCAGCATGTCAGGGAGGAGGAACAGCAGCTCAGACAGGCTGGTGTCCTTCTTACAGAGCTTACCAAGTCTTCCTGCAGACCCACAGGCAGCAAACATGCAACCCCAACCCCTGGTTTCCTCTGTTCCTATCAAACAACAAGTTGCAGCACTTTGCAGCAGCTTGCATCTCCAAACATTACTCTGCAGCTCCATAGCCTCATCTTAAGGTAATGAGCGTGCGGGGAGCTGGGCCATGGCTGCATCCCTAAGAGAAGTCTCCCAGCTCGCTGCAGAGGAATATGCTTACGGATCACTCACCAGCAGCAAGCAGCCAAGCATCATCTTATGGTGTGAACTCATATAGTTCCCACAGACGTGCCTCCTCCATCAAAGGCATGATGCTGCCACTGCCCTTGCCTTGTCTTCTGACTCCCTCCCCAGTCCATCATCAGTCTGACAGCTCTCAGACATGCTCAGCCACCTGCCCAAAGAAATGAGCCACTGGCTCATGAGGTGGATCACCTCAGCCGTTTTGAGATGTCACAGGCATGGAGAAAAAAAGAAATTCCCTTCCACTGGGTCCTTACTGATCTTGATGGCTGCACAGACATGTTGAAACAAAAAGACAACTAAAAGGCCAGAAGTTTTAAGAAGAAAAGCTGAGAGGAAGAATTAAGACCTAAGCCATGGGAGTGTCCCCATCCATTCCCACCTAAGACAGGCAATTAAGCAACCTGTGTCCAGTACTGTCCTTGGCTAGTGAGGCTGGGGACATATGACCTCTTTCAGCTCAAGCTATAGTCATGGAAGAATTTGCTACCCTCAGTTTCTTTTACCCACCTTTCCTTCTCCTCCATACGGCCCACCATCCTTCTATCTGGAGCAGTTTGTGTGAATGTTTCTGTTAGGCAAAAATCATATTCTTCACTTTGAATGTATATATTACAGACCTGAGATAACCTGGCTGACTTTGTCGGATACAAATCAGTACGTACATGCAAAAATGGATCCTTCGATCATGAATCCTTTGACCCTTTCATGAAACAGCAGTATCCTGAAGACCTCCACACTACTTGATAGCCATAATAATAGTGGCGCAGCCACTTGATTTCCATTCACTGCTAGGAGAAAAATACTCAGCCACAAAACTCATACAATTTCTGTACCTAAGCCAAGTCCTTTCTAGATTGCCAGAAGCCAACAAATAAAGAGGAGAAATATTGGGAACGCTTTTAGATGGGCTGCTGCCACTTGTCATGCAGTGTCACTTGGACCTGCCATGAACAGAAAGAGAGTATTTAAAACATCGCCACCTGCTGACAGCCTGGCTGCTAATTACTCCGTTATGCCAAATGGGAGACAATACCAATTTGGTATAAATTAAGAAGGGATTTTCATGAAACATACATAACTGCACAAGCCTCATCTACCTTTAGCCTTTTACCATTGTTAGCACTAATGCTGGAAAGGATAATTTACCTGTTAGTGTCCATACAAGGTGTTTTCTTAGTATTTCCTTCAAAATAGACACTATTTTGACTATTCTGTTCATGTGTGTTTCTAAAGTATCTTCTACAGTCCTGCTCCCAACCAGATACTATAACCGCCCTGCCCAGCAAGGAATTCTCCAAGTTACTGTCCGAGATCCCTCTTTGCCCTGAGGAAAATCAAGGAGTAACAACATGCATTCCATAATCTGCTCTGCACAATAATACAGAGAGCTTATACTACAGGATTATTTTTTTTTAGGCTGGGTATGTTATTTTTAATGCTTTTGAACTATTGAGTAAATAGAAATGCTGCAGGGCTTTTTGCTTTGTTTTTGGTTTTCTCCGCTCTGCATCGCCCTTCAGTGCGACTCTGCCTTTGTTACCTAGGAAACCTCCACAGGCTGGAGAGGGATTGGATGCACTGTGACATTAAAAGCTGTCAACCAAAGGTGCATGGATGCCTGTGAAACAACAAATACAGAAAATGACAGCCTAAGTATTTTATTGATAACACAAAATGCACATATGCTGCTAAGAGACAAATTGGGAACCTGAGTTGGCTAGTTTAGTCAAAAGGCCAGTATTGTAAGAAATTTGAAAATAGTTCCAATTATCAATTTTTAAAAAAGTGACAGGACAGGAAACAACCTTATGAGAGAGACTGTTTATAAAAATGCAGATGGCAGCAGCTCCTCTTGGTTGCCACGAAGGGAATACACTGTGAGGGAGACCAGGTAAGCTAGCAGGCTAACGGACTCCCCTGGACACTGGAACCCTTGCTTATTTAATGTGTCATCTGCAGCTGGTTTCCACATGGTACCTGACTTGTCAAAATCACTTGAGAACTTTATTGGAAACAAGTTAAGTCATATTCCATAATAACTGTTAAGTGGAAATTTATAATACGGTCATACAGAGCTGAGAAAGCAAAAGTCAGCTACATTGCAGAGAGCAGCTGAGAAGACCAGAGCAATGCCAGTAATTCAGCACTGATAACGTGTGCTATTTGTGAGAAGATGATCCTCTGAAAGCAGTTTTGGGAGACCACAGAGACATGTGCAAACAAACAAACAAACAAACAACCTCCCCCCCCCCCCCCCTCTAAGAAAACTCCCTGTGACATAGTCGATATATCATCAAATTTCTGTACAGAGTGAACTCAGAACTTCTTCAGATTAGCAGTCCAGAGCCTAGTCCACTTGACTCATTATCTGAAAGCCTATTATTATTATTAATCATTTGGAAATTACACTCTTAGCACTCTCTTGCTCCATACCTGCCAATTAAACTACTTTAACCTCATTAACAACACTGGTGCTTGGCTTTCACGATACGTACTAAGTTAACAGTTTGATTTATGAATGCTAGAGCACTGTTCGGTCTGCTAGATTTTCCCTTTGTCTCTTTTCTGCTCTCTTCTCTTTCAGTAGGGAGCTTGGAGGAAGTGCTCCCAGGCAGCACTGTTTTAAGTGCAGTCAGTCAGCCTGAGAGTTTCTTACAGGCTGCTTCACGTTCAGGAACCCCCATGAGACCTGAAGGCATTGAACTTCCTTCTTCTCCATATAAAACCTCGACACCTCAGGCTACAGGGGTACAACTAAGAAGCAACAAGATGACGTGTGGGCTGAAAGCAAAAGTGCAACTTTTGGCCTTGCCTGCCCTAATGTGCGTCGTATTAAGGGGAATTTGAGATGCATGCAAAGATGTATCAGAGGAAAACAGCATCAGGACCCCCTTTGCTGCAGAGGCCCAAAGCTCTAGAGAGGTCTTATTGAAATAAGATGCCTTTAACTCTTCATAACATGGGAAACATCTCTGTCTGCTAAAGGAGACACGAATTTTGAAATCTTTGGAAAACTGAGCATGTTCTTTGAGATATCTTTTCAGAACAGAAACCAAAAGAACAGAAAAGACAAACGAGAAGAGCTAACAGGTTCATGAATGCTTGAAAAGAGCGGTCAGACTCCTATAGTCACCTCTGCCCCTTTCCACCCTCACCTCCTGTCTGCACCAACCAACATAAACAACATTTCTAGGCTGATCAAAAGGCAGCATCTCCTATTGCTACCTCTACTGGGAGTTTATTAACATTTCACGCCTAAAAGCACTCCCCACAAAAAACACAAGCATCAAAGACATTATACAGAAGGATTACATATCTAAGCCCCAAGGAAAAACAGGAGGTACATTTTGTTCACACACTCACACACTCACACGCACACATAGATTCACAAAAACACTAGAGTCTTGACTGAGACCTTCAGGCTCTACTGCAATACACAGTAAATAAGCAATATTAAAAATAGCCTGGGAAAAAAATGAAAATCACCCTCCTCTACGTTGTACAAACAGTACATACAGAAGACAGTAATGACACTGCAAGTAGGTTTTTGTGCATTACCAGGAAATACCACACGGGGCATTGAAATTAATGTCAAAAGGTGTCAGCGCTAAATTCATGATCATGGTCAGCCAACTGTTTTAATGACAGGTTTAATGCTGGGTTGTTACAGTGACATGACTAAAGCACTGTGGGTTTAATCTGGAGGTAATACTCACACATCGCACAGGCAGCAGCTTGAGCTACACCACGGAAAGCTGCCTGCATGACGGGTTGGCCATAGGGCAGCACAACGTGGCAGGCTGTCCGTGATAATTAACAGGAGGTGAGAGCGACGTAGCCAGGGAAAGCAGCTGTAGCTGCAGGTGCAGAAAAGCTACAGATGAAAACTGTCATCTCCTTTCACTACTTGCTGCTCTTGATTTATTCTTGCTGGAAGGGTCAGGTTTGGAGTAGTTTGGCCCACTGCTCGCTTCTTGTGCTGTCAGCTCAGATTCATCAGCGTTTCAGTCGACAACATACAATTTTAGAGACAGGTTTACCTTTCTGTATGTTCCTCAAAGTCTGTCTTTTAACCTAGGGCCACTGCTGAGTTCCTACAGACCATCAGCACTTCATTCTTAAAGGGGATGTGAGACACAAGATAGAGCGCTGCCAGATGTATAATGCTGGCATACACCAACCTTGGCTGGAGAGTCTAAAGGCAAACTGAGCAGAAGACTCCTCTTGTGTTAGACTAATTCTGCGGACTGGGGCGTCAGGAAACCCGAGTGCTGGGCTCTCACAGCAATTGCTATGTGATCCTTGCAGGTTACTCATCCCCAGTTACTCCCTCTCTAACAGAGGCAGCAGTTATTGTCAGTAAAGACCACTCTTCTGGATCTTGATGTCTGCAGTAACTGTCTAAAAACGCGCTGTGAAAACTTCAAACTACACTTCAGTCAGTGCAACAATCCAACGTATATCTCGCCTGCGATCTCAGTCCAGACAGCAGCTGCAAGCAGCTGGTTATTTCTCAGCATATACACCTTTTCCCAAAAGAGTTCCAATTTGCAGCCCACCGGCATCGCAGGAACAGCCTGTGGGCTGATCCAGCAGACCACAGGATCAATAAGATGTGCAGCTATATAGCAGAGAGAGAGCATATGCTGACCGATTGATTGTGCTTTCCTTTTTACATAGCATTGGAAAACTGTGAAATACCCACTAAGGCCAGGTCTAACCTGGCTGGGCCCTGCTTGGCATTCTTTCTTGTGGCATTTTAATTTTGGAACAGAGCAGGTGATGGGAACAGCCAGGAGACACAGGCATTTTAAAGTCCCCAAGACAGACAAACAACGAGAAAGTAGTATAGCGCAGGTCTGGGAATGGGATTTCAAAGGTTTTCCTGGGTTCAGTGACGAAATGAGTGTCTTCAGTGACTGAGCAAGGTCTTGAGTGTCTTCAGTGACTGAGCAAGGTCTTGGCACTGTACAAGGCAAAGGAGCGTACTCACCTCTGACTCTGATACTTCCAAGGGCTTCTCGCTCAGGCCTAAGCCCTCGGTTAGCACAGCTCCATTGTACTTGTTGCAGATATCCTCATCAGAGTAGTGCAGCCCCCCAGGGCTTGGGCGAGGAGGAGACCTAGGAAACATAAAGGGTGAGCATATGGGATGTTGTCATTTTGCTGAAATGACCACAGTCCATGAACAACATAGTGTTTAGAAGCCAGCATCACAGTCTAGGGCAGTGACTCAGACACCAGCCTATAGTCCTCCCTAGATCCTCCAGACAACAGCCTCTCCCCTTTGCCTCTTCAACAGTTGGCCTGAAGCTAGATAAAAAGCCATTTCCAAGAGCATGGTGTTCCCAGCTTCTTACCTGGTACCATTTTTCTTTGAGAAGGTGCTCTTGATGTTTAGGTGCCTGCTGTTGAGCTCCAGACCAGTGAAGCCTCCATTATCCAGGGTGACTGACTCTTCCATATTGGAGATGGTTTTACCTGGAGCCAGTTAACGAAAGGTTCAGCTGAAACAAAGGCACTTTACCCCCAAATGCAACTGTAAGAACCATTATAAACATGTTTCTAACTTTTTCTTCCTTTTGTTTTATGACAACTTTCATTTTCTGAACATCTCTTTACCTTTCTGGCAAATGAGTCCAATTAGAATGGGAGAAAGAGCTTATCAGGAGCGTGAATGGACAGAAGGAGCCAAAAGAGGTGAGAGAGAGAGTCGTGGTTACATGCACTTCGCTCTGAGGTAAGCATCAAAAATAGTACAGAGGAACTGTGCTCCAGAGGTGCTTACTTCTGTCTTTTGACTAGAAATAGAATCCAGGTGACTACTTCACATGGACATTGAAGACGTCCTAAACTAGGTGCCAGGAATCCCATTCATGCTGACTGGAAAGCAAGGGAAAGTAAAACTAGGAAGGGCAGAAAAAGAAGAAGAAAAAAAAAAGAGACAGGAAAGAAAGCAAGAGGAAGGTTCAGTGGGCATCAACGGGGAGGAAGATGCCAGAGCTGCAATGATAATAGAATATAGATGTGAGAAATCACAGGATGACACAGGGAAGAGAAAAGGACATGGGACTGGCAGAAGAGGTAAAACACAGCAAAGTATATTTTATCTTGTGATCAAAGACAGCAAGAACTTATTCTTTCCCATGCCCATTCTTTGTAATCCCAAAGGTGTGAGCTCAGCTACTGTCCTGGGAAGAAAGATGGGTTGCCTATTGCCATTTTGCAGCAGACAAGCACTTTATCCTTGGCTTCAATTTCAATGCTACATTAAGACTCAGTGTGAACACTGGTATTTGACGGTACAGGTTAGACCTGTCTTTTCATGTCTTTCCCCCCTAAACCAGAGCAAAACTAAAAAGATGAGAGATTTCCTGTGTGCTATGCATACAAATATACAATAGTATTAGCTCAGTAAAATACCATGTTATTCATACATCTTATCTCCCATGGGACTAAAATCTGATTCACTAACACTCGTTAAGAGTGAATTATACAGAAAGAAAAGATCTCCTCTTCGGGACTGAACTACTAAATACTGCCTGGAATATTACTTCACTACATTAATCCCTAAAAGAATGGGTAAAGCAAAGACCATCCACCTGCTTTACTCATCAATGTGTCTTTTTGGCAATAGAGCAATTTCTTGCTGGAGTTGGAGAAGGCTATCAGAGAAACGTACACATGAACAACCCTTCCAGAACTTCATTTCTGTAAGGGGAAGACAAGGTAAAGCAACATTCAGAGACCCAGAACAAGGAATCTGTGTTTCGAAAGGGGAGAATTTTGGCATTCATAGTTTCACAGCTGGAATGCCAGCACAGAGGATATGATCAGTGCTTCAAATGCAAGACATTTCTAATTCCTGCAGCTCCTGAGAGTGTGGGCACAGCATGGAGCCAATGTCTTACCTGCACTGCAGTTCTTGTATTTCTTGCTCTGGCCATGCAGGACCAATGCAAACACCACTAACAAGATGAGGATCAGACTAGAGAGAGCCATCACCAGCAGAAACCACCACTCCTCATAAAAAGGGGCTTCTGTTTGTGCTGAAAGAACAAAAAACAGATAATAATTCCTCTTTACGCTCCTTTAAAATTTCCACTTCTTCCCAAAGTGGAATGATGCATTCATGATGGCGTGCAGGACAGAGGGATGTTCAAAGGAGGTCATATATTCTACTAGTCAATCAGTACTTTCAAGAGACATGCTGACACTTCCTAGATGGCAAAGAGAGCAAGACTGGAGCATATCAAGGCTCCAGCATCTCCACAAGCATCTTTCGCACACTCAGAGCAGCACTCCAGAACACCTTAGCTCAGAAGTCGCCAAGTAAAGACAGGTAGGTTTCTTCCCACAGCTCTGCATACCCACATTTTCTGACTACTCCAGTACACTTAATACTCCCTGGATACAAAGAATCATTAATATATCTCTCATGACCCACAGCTACTCCACATTTTAAGAGGCCTGGGCCTCACCAGTGGCCTCTGTAAAAGACACAGCTGGTGCCAGGGAACAAAGTACGCTTGGGTCAGTGTAATTCAATACCTACACAGTTTATCTCCACCTTCCAATTTTCCCTCCGATTTTATACTGTTTCTCCATCAGCTTAGCCAAACCCAATGTGTAGCACGTGGACATCAATTCTGTTCCCAGATCTGCCTGGATTTTGTGCAATCTCAAGTCATTTCACCCCATTTGACCTCTATTTCCCCAGCTGGAAGAGACTCAAAATGATACTAGTTTTCCCATTCTAGAGTTATCTTGCCAGCGTTGGTTTAAAGTAGTAAGTACTGTTATTTTTTTGCTGTAGCATTCTCTTTATCAGCATCCTCCAGCTTTGAGAAGAAATGCTGCCAGTAGAGCACAAATTGACAATTGTGCACAACTTCACTGCAGTCAGTAAGGTAGAGAAACACCTGGTGGAAATGGGTGATGCCAGGAGACCAACTGCCACAGAAATCCTCACTGTCACCAAACCCAGACAATTCTCTTTCCCCTGGCTGTCCCAAACCTTGGATTTATGCAAAAGCCTCTTATAAGCCTGATGATATGGGCTCAGATTTGTTCCAGATCACTGGGTATTCTGCAGCAGTGAAAAGTAGCCACAATCTTTCTTTGCTAGGAGGCCAGCCCAGGCCAATACAGCCCTAAAGGCAAACTGTGCAAGCCATGCTGGGCTGAGCAGATTCAGTGCAATTTATACCTTCCCGTGCTAGCTGAAATGGCCAGCCTAAAATGCTTTATACTTTTACGACTGTGAATCTCAATGGAAACCTCTTACTTTCATGCAGCAATTTGAGATGAACATTGAAGCATCAAACGGAGGTGAATTAAATAGTTCTGTTCAAGTGCAGAACTTATAAACAAGCATTTTATTTATAAAAAGCATCACAAGGAGCTGCATGCCCAGCTTTGGGGGAATAATGCCTTGCAGAAAAAGAGAGACTGACGTGATTACTGCTATAGAATGACCCTTTACTTTGTGTTATAGCCTCTGCGAAACCACAGATAAGAAAAACACTGACTCTTGGCGTTTGGAGTGGGTTGTCGATGCCCTTGTCCTGAAGGAGAAAAGCAAAGGTAGCACTCGAGCTGAAATCCATAGCCAGCTCTCACAGGCTAAGTGGTTAATTGTGTAAGGACAAATGCAGCCGTGATGGTGATAGCAGCATTTACTACTCCTGCCTGCTGGGTAACTGTTGAATGGTGTTTCTGCTTTTCACTCTAGGAGCAAAGAGATAAAAGCCACTCCAGATACTGGAGCATTGCCAGGTTCTCAGGACTCTCCAGAATTTTGAATCATAAAGACATTTTAGCAGGTTCTTTCATTCCTCTTGTCTGCCTTTGCTGACACAGCTAAGATGAAACCTATTGCTCAAAAGCAACTTGGAGCAGAACTGTCTCAACAAGGGTAAAAACTGACCCGAGCAAAGCTTTCACAAGGACAAACTTTCCTACTTCACAAAAGGCCATCAAACTCCAGCTGCCCAAACACTGCAAGCTGAGCTGAATTTGCCTTTCAAGGAATTGAAGTTCCTCCAGAAAGTGAAAGCGCCAGTTGGTTCAAAGGCGTGCTGGAAGCATGTTAAGGCTATAGCCTGTTTACTGGGAATAACCACAACAGAGCAGGAAGGACAGAAGAGTATGTGAGCACCACCAACAAGCTCTTGGGGTGCTGGAGGCCTGGAGGCATCGCCCTCTCCTGCAATGCCAGCACAGAGGATATGATGAACATTTCTAGGTAACTACAATATTATTTTTGAGAGCTAAATACAAAATAGCACAGAACCCTAGGAACCCTGCATTTATCACAGAACCCTAGGAAAAGAAGGAAGCAGAGTAAAGAAAAGAACTGCCTAGGAAAGGAGGAGGAAGAAAGAGCAAAAAGAGCCTTGGCAATTTATTTTAACTAGGGAATCTTTTTGTTCTTTTTTCTCTTCTCCCACCCCCTTCAAAAGAAAATCCTCAAAAGAATATATGGAAAACATATAACAGAATAGACAATTACCTGATACTGCCACAGAGGGAACGCTTGGCTCTCCATAGCCAAATTCATTGACAGCCACCACTCTAAATTCATAGGTCACCCCCTGCTTCAGCTTGTCCAGGCTGACTGTGTAGGAGGTAGCGCTGCGAGGGATATCCTTCACAAACATATCCCACAGTCCTTCATCTAGGAAAGCAGCAAGGAGAAAAATGGCATTAACAGTGTGACTTGGCACTCCCTTCTGCTCATCGAAAATTAATTGCCATTAATTGCATGTTTCAGCCACAGGCAGTGGACAAGCTCTCCTGAAGGCTGCTCAACTACATGCATATATATTAGAATACCCCGCAAGATTCACCCCTATAAAGGGATTTATTTATGATGGGAAGACTTATACTAGTCCAGATGGAAGTGGTCTCCTCTGAGATCTGCACTAGCACCCACAGTGATCTGAGCTGGCTAGAGCAGCCACTAGCCATCTGGGTGCCTCCCGAATACCTCCGGTGAGCGTATCAGCATTCCTGTTATTCGACAGAGCAAGTAAACCCAAAGCAATCTGATACATTAATCAGTCCTAATCACACAGAATTTGCCTGCTTTTTACATTGCAGAACGGACTTCATGATCCAAGCTAAGCTAAGCTTTGCAAACTAACGTTAAGAGTTGGGCTTGGCTGGAAGAACTGTGGCTTTGCATGAACTGGCGCCTGGCAGACTAGTGTCGCTGGAGTGCTGCTTCCTTCACGACACCAGCAGCGATGTCTTTAGCCGGTGTTGGCCGGCAGCGTGGCACAGCCCACAGAGTAAGCCTGCAGGCAGCACGCTTCTGCGCCATGTGTTTTTAAGCAGAAATGAGTTTTTGTTTGCATTGTAAAGCTACGGAAGTTGTTAGAAATGCAGTGCCTTCTGAATAACTGATGAGAACGGTCCAGCAGGGTAATCTTGGTTCTCAACAGCCATGCTGACATTTATATTGATGCGCATGCAGCCTTGGTACTGTTCTGGTCCCTGATCCATATCTGTAATCCTATATTCACTTGAATACGATGGAAAGAACTTTCAACAAGATGGATGCTGTTAGCAGTAAGCACAAAACCAACTATAATTAAAAATGCCAGTCAATAATTTTGAGCGTAGGACTTGAACGTTAATCTAAATGGACTTTTTTTGAGCAGCAGTCAGTACCCAGCACTTCCAATAACAAAATGACTGTCTACACGTAGGGCCAAATTCTCAGGTAGCCTAAGCCAGCATAGCTCTTAAGGATCTGACTCCACAAGTATCCCATTGGGCTTCTACTTTTAGTTGACAGAATTGTTTAGCGATGTCTTTTGCTCTGTAGGTCCCACAGCAATGGGAATCCTATGAGAACTTCTGCACCAATACTAATCCAGCATATGAGCTGCCTGCTTTGAAAGCAAGCCCCCTGCACGGGGAGACACTGGCATCATCATGACCTCTGCAGACTCAAGGTGTTATCAAGGGAATGATAAAGCAGGAGCCAGAAGCTCTACCTGGAGTGACTTGTTCCATTGCTGCAATATACAGCCAGAATCTGTTCTGATTTGCTTTATGTTCACCCAAGTGTAAGCCAATTCAAGTCACCACAGCAGTTCCAGAACTGTGCTGGTATAACAGAGTGAAATTTGACCCTGAGCCTATTTCTGTGCAACGGGGAACGACAGCAAAGATGGATTGATTAACACTGCAGGTGCATTTCCATGTGAATGTTTTAACTTTGGCATCAGTAAATATTGGCTCAGTAATTTGTAACGTGCTGCATGGCTAGCAACACACACAATGACTAACAACCCCCAAACTGCGTCTTTTCTGATCGTGAGGACCGGCAGTCTCAGTGGATGCAAAAAGCAGACTGAAACGTTACTGTTCTAGCTACGTTTGAGAAATGCTGAAGAACAGGTAATTCTTCTGTCATGCTTAAAATTCAGACCAATACATTATTCACCAGCATGATCAGAGTATAATGAAGTTATCATAATACACCATTGTTATGTATTAGTTGCATATTACAATGGCTATAAAACAAGAGATGAAATACTGACTTCCCTTTCACAGGGCAATATAAGGCTAGATTACTTCTACCATGTAAAGTTACAAAGTAATAAAAAAGAAGCTCGGGATTTAGTTTCTCTGAGGAGGGTGGAGTGAGGGATGCATTTTCAAATTTAGATTGTTGCAACCACCAATACTAAAAAGATGCATCTCAGACTATAAAATATTGTCGTAATTGCTAGAACTATGTGAGCTTTCATAAGCACATTTGCAAACAGCTATAACAGAATTTCAGCCTGTTGTGAATTGTCTGAAAAGCAATTTGTTTACATTGAGAAGCCACTTAAACGGGGAAGAAAAGGCAAGAATAAAAACAAATGTTCATCTTTCATTGCAACAAACGCAGTCCTTGCCCCCAACACGCACTCTCTTTCTCACTCATTTTCCTAAAGCAGCCAGGGTGCACAGCGCAGAATAGCTTGCAGACCGAGCAAGTGTAACTTTTGCCCCTCTTTCTAGATGTAGCTTGCAATCAGATGTATCCAGACTAAAAAGCCTTTTATTTCAGTGGCAAACTTTGCAACTAAATACCTTTGCCCACACTTGTGAAGCCATCCGTCCCATCTCTCCCCTATCCCTCAGCACCAGATTTGCTGTAAATGTTAGAAGTTCAGTTGAAAGAGAATTCATGAGAAGGTTACCTAGCACAGCACCAGATCAGCCTTTAAGTGCAGTAGAAAATCATTAGTATACTGTACACAGCATTTTCCACTCGGTTTGGGGAGGAAGGCACAGCAGGTATACCGACTGCATCTTAACTCAGAGAAACCCAGGAGAGCAGCAAGGTTTTGCAGCCGCAGACTCCCCCAGAGAGGGGAAGGGCGGCCGGTGCCGGGCGCTTCCCGCTTACTGCACGGCGAGCCGCAGCGCAACCGCTCACAGATGCTGTCGCTTCGGTAATATCTGTCCCTTCCTTCATCTCACGCTGCCTTTGGGTGCTCCAAAAGGAGGCCTAAACATCCAGTGCAAAAGGGAGAGCTCCTCAGAGAAAAGAAATTTGTCTTTGCTTCCTGGTTTTATAAACACCTCCCCGCACCCGGCCCCAGCCTCGCTGCCTGCCGACACGAGAGTCGAGCTTTCTCTTCCAGCCTCGACTGGAAGACCCTCCGATCCGGGAGCTGCACGCGCACGCGTGGAGAGAAGGTCCGAACGACGGGGAAGGCAGAACCGCCTCGGCCCCCGACCCGCGCCGCGGCTGGCGAGACGGAAAGCTGTCCATTATGTGTTTTTGGCCCTCCTCTCTTGGAGTAAGAGCAGGGCTGCGCCGTAAAACCTCCTCCTGATCCCGCATTAGGAGGTTTCTGAGGGGAAAAGCAGCGGAGAATTAAGGGCTGGCTAAATAGCGTTCCCGCTCCGAAGGACAGTGTTCACAGGGGGATGTGTTTGTCACAGGCGAAGGTCTGGATCCGATGCAAGCGCCCAAGAGGACGAGAATGGGAAGTGAAGGCTGACAAACTGTCAGCCCCTGCACGCCGTTCGTGAGCGGAGGCGAACCAAAGGCCCCATGGCAGATGCCGTCAATGCAGCTGCACCCTTCACTTTGAATTTACTGACTTCTGCTGGTTCGTGTCCATGGTTGACACTGCACTCCCTCATTTGTTTAAAAATAAATAGAAAAGGAAGAAAACACAAAAATGTTACTCAAGAGACCAGAAAGAAAACTGAAGAGAGATCTGCCTTTGGGGGTGTGCGAAGCGAAAAACCTCAGCGTTTAACCTCAGCGTTTATGGGAAGGAAAATCCCCGCTCCAAGTAGAAGGGTTCTTCCCCAAAACGTCTGCTGCCTTCATGGAACGGATCATTTGGGGCAACCAAAGAAAGCGTTTGCCTGATTTGCCTGGTGTCCCAGATTCATGATTTCTGGCTGATCTGAGACTTAAATGGCCTGTTCATGCCAGCCAGAGTGTTAGAAATATTATTACTGGAAACATGTTAAGACACAATTCTCTCCCACTGGGCTTAAGACCTGCCCTACTTGGGAAAAGCCAACAAACAAAACCCAAAATGCAGGCTGGGGGAGAGAAAGCAGAAGAGGAAATCTCTGTCCTCTTGTCCCAGGCAGAAGGCTTCTCCTGAGGTGCAACTCTAAAAGTCCTTAAAGCACAGAGGACAGAGAGCAAGCCTTGGACAATGCATGAAGTTGGGAGACAAAGGACAAGAGAGCTCTTCTCTGCTCCCTCTGGCAGTGCTGGAGCCTTGCCATCGCTATGCCTTTTTTGTTTTTTCCTCTGCACGTAGAAATAGAGGACACTATCTAACACCCATTTCTCAGCCAGCCCAGTTGATGCCTAGGGAGTGCTCGCTATGGCAGTGACAGAGGCTGCTTAACTGTAATGCCCAAGGAGCTGAAGTGGAATCCATTTCTCCAGAGAGAGAGGAGTTGAAGGAAAGGAGAGAACGCTTCCGTTTCTGTAATGCTTTCCTCTAGCACAGATTGCTCTGGAAAAAATCAATATTTTTTGTGTGCCTGTTCCACGCCTGTGTCGGAGTATATTCAAAATGCACAGGAGGTACCCAGTCTGGTCCCCTTCCACAAAGCCTGGAGAGAAACAGGAAGATCAAAGGAACAATCACAGTTGCCTGCTGCCACCACCACTAAACCCAGCAGAGCAGGAGGAACCCAGGGAGACACAGCAGGACAATGAAAGGGAAGTGACAAAAAGAGGGAAGGTTTGCCATTTATGACAGAAACCCACCCTCCTGCTCTGATAGAAGAATCTTGGCAGAAAGCTACAGCAGGGAAAATGAGATGATACAGCATTTAATGTTTGGGGTAATGAGGCCTATAATAGATGACACTTGAGATGTGAAATACTAAGGTAGTGGTATTGCATTTAAATACTGGCAACAAGCTGAAGCTTTTCATCTGTCTATTTAATGCCCCTTTTTGATCTCAGAAGGATGAATATCTTCTCCTTCCTTGATTTTATGTGAAGGGCACAAGTCAACTGCTTTTCTCTTAGACATCACCTACTTAAAAACAAAGGTTGCTCCAATCCTTGCTCTAATACTCATACAAATCACTGTGCAGAAGCAAATTCTTATAATTATATTAAAACAGAAGCTGATCTGAATGACCAACCCTGGCAGGAGGAATTAGTTCCCTGCTTTCGTTAAGCTCAAAATTCAGATTTCAAACTCCACTGTGCAGAGACGAGGAAGAAAAGCAGTACTGAAATGAAGCTGAAGCTTGCGTGAGATAAGCAAACGTTCCAATTAGTCCGTCTCCTCTGTTGGATCACATTTCACGCTTTCTACAGCCGCAGCCACAACTAAGGAGGAGAATCCAGCATACAAATGGCTAGTTCATTTACTACAGCAGCATGAATAGGATTAAAATAATCTGAAGAGGAATTAAATGCCTCAACAGTCAGGTTGCAAGAGCAGGAGAATAAGACCTCTTCTGTGTTTGTTTCCAGGATCAGTGGAGTGGCGCCAGTAGGAATGATCCAAGGTTAATGCAAGACTGTTTTCTTCGTGCTCAAAAAGAGCGGGCCACAAATCCTACAGCGCATCCTTAGGCACGAACTGTAAAACGTTCATTCACATCCAAAGGTGAGATGACACCTGACAAATCTGCGACACCGCCACTCACATGACAGGGTTGTCTTTTGCATGAGAACATTTGTTTAGAAGTTTTATGGCTTGTTTCACAGAGATAGGAGAATAGATTACAATTTGTTATTTTTCCTGTTCTAAAGTAAGATGTGAATGACAGTAGGTTCACTGAGGTATCTTACAGAAATGTGTAAGTTAATGGAGCTCCTGCATTTTAAGTTGGGATTCTTTCCATAGAGCACTTTGAATTTTTCAGCTTGCAGACAATCTGTACATGGGGTACAAGTTGCTCTCTAAAATACTCTTCCTCAAAATCCCCTGCTTTTTGGGGCAAATGTAAGCTGGCTGGCAAAAGTCAGTGAATAAGTTTTGGTTTCAGTTGCTATCTGAACAATACTGCCCAAATAAAACAGGATATTTTGCGCCCACGAGCAAATAAGGGCAGGAATCAGCAAGCTGATGTAGGGGAAATGGAAGCACTGGATGTCATTCCATAATTAAGAAAACTCGATCGCTCTGGGAGACGCCAGTGCTTTGAGAAGGTACACATTTTTCTTCATTTTGCTTTGAAAACAACTGTCACATTAAATGACAGAAATTAGAAACAGAGAATCACAGTGGAGCCTCACTACAGAGCAAGTTCTAGCCAATATAGGAGCGGAAATACGCATCTTTAGTGATGATCACAGAACTGCAGCCTATGATTTTGTTACTGGTCTGCTTACAACTAATTAAAATCATTGGATATAACTGCAACCCTATATTCAAGACACATTGCAAGAAAAAGGTATGATCCTTTATATAACCGAACAGATAAACATTCATTTAATCAACACAAAATCAAGCAACGTGTAAGCACCTAAAAGTGAAAAGGAGAAGAACAATCAGCCAACAAGGATTTGTCAAATATAAATCATGTCTAATCTCCTTCTGCGACAAGGTAATAGACCTTGCCCTGTCTACTAAGAAAGAGTAGACATCATCTACCCTGACTTCAGCAAAGCTTTTGACACCGTGACATTCAAACATGGCCTACATGAAACAAGTATCTTGTAGTAGATGCATCACTGGCTGGAAAACTGTACTCAGACAACAGTTATCAACATTCACTGTCAGAGTGGAGGGAATTTATCAAATGAGACCCCACAGGAGTCTGGCAGTACTCAACATTTTTGTTAATGACTTAGATACCAGAAGATGGGCACTTGTTAAATTTGCAAAGTGATACCAAGCTGAAAGAGGCTGAAAAACAGGCTGGAACATAGCTGCTCTGTGTTCTAGTCAAACTGGGAAAATATTCTGGAAAAAGTACATCGCAATTCAGTAAGGAGGAATGCAAATCCCTCAAAGCAAAGCAGTTCAGGGAAAGGACCAAGGAAAACTCGCTGGTTTTGAGGAGATTCCTTTCACCCACCTCACATGCATCCTGCCAAACAAATGGGGAAAGCTATGTTCACACACTGCTAAAAGTCCAGGTCCTGCTTATAATAACACTGATTAGCTGCTGTGTTCTGCTGCACAAGGGGAGAGAATTCAGTCTGCGGTCCTGAAAATACAGTTTGCAAGTACTTAAGGGTCCTTGTGCCTGAAAGATGCTGTAAGCATTTAAGTGAATTTTAATTATTAATTATATTAGTTTATCAGTTGGATGATTTACCAATGATGTAGCAGAGGGAAACCCAGAGTGCTCAGTGTAATTTTCTGTGACTATTTAACAGCCAACAATCTGACATATCACATAATAAACTAGAGAAGGTGTAATACTGGATGGTAATAGCTTTCCCTCACAAAATCCTATTACCTTACTGGGATGATCAACAACCTCTTCCACTGCAGGGCGGGTTTCAGTTTGGCCTGAAGGAAGGGAATTCCTGATACCATGCACTCCATGTTTCCCACAGCTTACCTGAGGGCCGTGCCTCTATAATGTATCCAGTTGTGGGTTTTTCTCCTGAATCTCCCTCAGTCCACTGCAGCGTCAGTCCAGAAGCAGATTTTGTCACCAGAATTTCCTGAGGGGAGCCAGGAGACCCTGAAGGATGAAGTGAGAATAGCAAACAGTAGTGATATCAGAGACCTACTGCAGAATTCCTTCTTATGTCTACTGACACAGGAAAACAAAAGCCAGACGTTATCGGTCAGCATGTTAACATTACAAAACAGCCCAAACGGGCTACTGGCCTCAATTTTTCACTGGTTCTAGTATCGTCAATTAAATAGCAAATGCTGGGTTTTACTGGCACCTCTGTAAAGAAGGAAGGAGTAAAAACACTGTCATTTTAACAGTTTGCGTATCTGCAACATCTGCACATCGCCACTGCTATTTCTGCCTTCAGAGGTGGAATCAGCCTCTGAGTTTCAGAGAGTTCTTTGCTAAAGCTGCCTGTACATTCACTTGGGAACATGTCACTGCCATGTTAAAGAGGATTCATGGTTTCTACTGTCTATGACTGGGCATGATCCACTGGGCTACTATCCCAGATACTAGATAAAGAGGACACTGGGATAAAATCAAAGCCTGCTGGCACCCAGATGGGTGGAATCGCCAGATGTGGCCCGTTGATGGATGGAGCAACTATTTCCTTGAGCTGGGAAGGAAGCAAAAATAAGAATTGTGATCGTTGCACGAAGGATTTATGGTCTACTGGACAATCTAATATCACTGGAGGTCCTCTACCTTTTTAGATTATCTATTTATCAGAATCACTAATAATAATAATAAAAACTCTACTGCTTTGGCATACACATTGAACCAAGGCGGGAATCCTGAAGTTCAGCTTGCTGCTCCTCTCAGCATACAAGGAAACCTGCAGATATATTCCTGTGCACGAACCAAAGTGTCAGGAGGGTGTAATTCTAAATTCTTACTCATTTTAAATACAGGAACCTCCACTGATTTAGACAGAGTTTTTCCACTTCAACTCCAAAGCATACCAGTACAATCAGAACAAGGGACCATGCTCTCAGGCTGTATTGAATTCCCTGGCTAGCCAGTTTGTGCTATAATTTATTAACACGGCTTTGTTTATTCACATTAGCCTTTTAGCCTTCAGAAAAAAAAGAAACATCTTTTTCATGGACAGTTGTGAAACCCACTGAATCATGCCCTCAGGTCCCATGACAAAACTTCTCCTTGGCTTGGAACTACATGTTAAGCGTTGAATGCACTACTCACTGCTGTTGGACTGTGTTTATACAACTGGATCTAGCTTGCCATGTGCTTTTATGGTTCCACTTACCTTCTGCTGGCCCCGCTGTGACATTGGCTTGCAATTCAGGCCCATAGGCAATGGTTCTGGCTTGCACTTGGAATAAATAGGTCATGCCCTTGGTGAGATCTCGGACCTTCAGCCAGCGTTGCCAATTTCCTTTTATGTCCACGGTCACCACCTTACTCACCCCTGGAATAGCCACATAGATGAAAAATAAGAAAAGGTTGCAAGGCAAAAAATAAATCAAGTGGAGCTTATCATATCTAGAAAGTAAGTAGAATCATCTAACAGTTTGCTAAGAAAGTATTTCTTACAATTAGCAGGAGTTTAAGTAGTGATAATAGCCAATTTTCAGCACTGATAAGTATAATTAGAGTTTAAGCTTGATAAGTGGGTACTGACAAAAAGAAAACCTTATAACACAACTGGGAAATTACCAAGAGATTACAAGCAACTTCACTAATTACTCTGGGAAGAATGCAGGAGGTAAACGAAGAGGACTGCATGCTGCAGATTCCTTCCTAAGCAAGGATTTCTCTGCTGCTTCTTTGCCAAGCAACCTGCAATGCTGCTCAGGGGAAAAAATAAGGGCCAGCTTCTTTCCTTTTATCCTGTCCTGTCACTTCCACCAATGCTAAGTGAATACAGAATAAAGGACATACATCTCACGAATAACTTATGGGTAATAAATGCCACTGCAACGTGGGATGCAATCAAAGCATTATTTACTTGGACAAGGCCAATGTCATCACTTGTGTTTCACTCTTTTCAGCTTGGTGGAGTTTCAAGGTGTGCTAAATGCCCACACTGTAGACGTTGGTGCAGCGAGGGGAGCCTTAAGGCTGTCCTCCAAAGACCCTCTGAAAGCTGTACTACCCCAGAACAACTCAGGCAGAGCTATCTCAAAGTAACGTGCCCTCACTAGTCATGCAGAGCCTCCAGTTTTCTACAGTTGTGTAAATTGTCCTGGATTCTCTCCAGACCTTGAAGTATGACCAAGATAGCATAAAAGTGATCTAAAACCACTTTAGTGACCACTCAGCTCATCTTATCTTATGAACTCATACATATGCTTACTATTTTACTAATGATTCCTTGGGTTCAGACTGGGAGATTCTGAGGATTGAACTTCTTTCTCACTCACCAAGAATTTTTCTTATATAGAAGAACTAAAATTCATGCTATTTCCTTCATCAGTGTTTATAGCCAGTCTTACATTTAGGTTCTCAATGATTCTAGGTTGATACTGCACAAAGGGTGGCGTGGTAATGACTACTTTGAAAAAAACTATAGTTTCCATTGAAATTTTCTAAAAGCAACTTAATGAGAAGAATTTAAAATAGAAAATACTTTACAGAACTAAAAGTTTGAATTGAAAGAGTCCTTTTAGTATTTTCTGGTTCTGTAAATGTACGTAACACATTTCAAACCAAGAAGATTAGAAGTGAGAAAATGATTTTCCCACTAGAGAAGGGTGTTTGCTAGTTTGTCTCTCCAGAAAAATGCAAAGGAAGAAGTTTTCCAATTTGGATGCTTATTTTATGCAAATCAAGTTGCTTCTTTCAGTGTTTATCAGTTAAACAAAGAATAATGTCCAAATGATTTCCATTCAAAGTTTTCTTCCAGTTACAGT